GGTCACGGAACTATCGTCCAATCACTCCCCATTCAGTGTTATCGAAAGTAATGGAATACATTATAACAGAGGCGCACATGGGATACCTTGCGAGCAAAGACATCATAGTGTCCCAGCAGCACTGATTCCTCCGAAATCGGTCTTGCACTATAAACAGACTGCTCGCCAGAGCAATCTGGCAGGAGTTAGTCGACGCCAGAGTAGGAACCAACATCGGATAACTGTAGTTATCAAAGACATTTAACCGGCTGGACTACTGCACTTTTCTTCACAAGTTTAGATGCGATGGAATCGGTGACTGTTTTCTGGGTTGAACAAGCAACATCCTCATCCAAAGTCAGGTGAAGGTGAGAGTACGCCGTTCTATTCCAGATCCAGTTGAAGTCAAGTGTGGTGTGCCCCTAAGGTCGGCACTGGGACCATGTGTATTCCCAGACTTCATCAAGCATCTTGCGAGTGGTCTGCAGTCGAACATTTTATATTTACAGACCATGTCGTAAGCTGCCTTGACATCAAGACAGTGGGAGATCACACGACGCTATAAAGCGATCTCGACAGGCCCTATACGTAGTCATCCGACAACTGGCAGCAGTTCAACTTGGCGAAATACAAACTCGTGAGCATATGCCACCAGAGTACCCATGAAGATCGACATGGGACCAGCAGTTGCAACGTGCTTCCCAGGATAGCAATCTCGGAGTGCTTGTGCATGATGACCTTGGCTGCTCGAAACAGGCGGAATAGGCATCGTGACGAGTCAGTCAGCTCCTTGGACTCTTACGTAAGTCCTTCGAGAAGTTCGAGGCATCAATCGTTCAGTAAATGCTGAACGCATACTTGAGGCTCCACCTGGAATACGCGATCCAAGCATGGCGTCCCCGGAACAAACGCAAGTTGGATGCACTTGAAGCTGTCAGCGTAGAGCGACCAAACTCGTTAGAGTGTTGTTTCACCTCCCCTACCAATAGACTGAAAGCCCTAGGTTTGTACGACAGCGAATATCGGCGCCTGAGAGGAGATCTTACCAGGCTGGCAAAACCCAATCACATCTATCATGACCTGTTCCTAGTGAGCCACAACACTAACCTGAGAGGCCACGCACTACAGTCGACTTGATTGCCGACAACATTTTCCCCTTCCAGGTATCCCGAGCATCTAACACTTGTGTAACTCAAGTGATTTTGCCCCCATGTTATCGTTTTCCAAAGGACGACTTGTAGACAAGCTGCCACATTTGCATTAGGTGATAAAATCCGTTTCAGTCGGAAGCTGAAATAAAGTAAAGCCAAGTGTTTGCTCACCGATCCTCTCCATAACGCAGCGGTAAGGAAAGAAGCATATGTGTTCATGTGAATAAATTCGTGTGTCATCTAAAACCTGAAATTTTCATTTTTTTCCCTTTCAGTTTGAACCTTGATTTTATAATTCTTACTTCGGTCATACTACGGGACTTTTCATGCATGTACCTTTGCCCTTCGTCGTTCATATTTCCTTATTCACTTGCCACTCGCAATAGGCTCGAGCAGGAATTTTCTTCCAACGGAGCCATTTTCCACGTTGGATACAAGACCAAACCGCCGAGCCTAACAAACTGCTGTGGTACGGAAAAGTAAAGGCACTGTGCTGTATGAGTTGTCTATCGGACCGTTGACTTTCGTTCGGCACACTAATCAGCTACGCAAACGTGGATTGGAAACACAATCTTTTCCATTTCCGCGTTGCTGTTCGATGTACTGCTGGACCCGTTTGAAGTACCAAAAGTGGAGTTCTGTGAGCTGACAGAAACGCACTAAGAGCCATGCCATGCAATCGTTCGGTGATCCATGCCGACAATTCAGCTGATCCGATTTATGCATGTGAACCTTACACTTCACTCCTACAAGCCGTAAGAACAGCTTGTTTTTCAGGGGGGGAATGTTAGTCCCAAATCCGATGCCTTAAAAGTATAACGCCGTCGCGCGGCACTGGCCGTTAACTTCACTCTCACCTACTCTTCGACGTTGGTTCATGTGTATGCGACTGCGGATCATGTGAAGCGGCCTACCTGACACACCTTCTTAAATTACCATACATTGTAAGCTGTCTTGCCGGTATTGTATGACTTGAGGTTTGGGCATCGTTTTGTGCGGTGACTGCTTTGTTCTGAAGGCTCTGTCCACTGACAAACGTCTTTACAACAATCAGTCAGGCAGTCGGTGAGTTAAACGGCACGAAAACCTCAAATAAAAGCATGAGCTTGGATCGATGGACAGAACACGATTCTCTCCTATTTAATTCTTCAGCGCAGTCCTCTTTGACACCTTCATTTCCCTCGAGGGGTACTTGGTCAGTCCATACAAATCATTCTCCTGAGGCAGAGATCCGTAGTGCAATCCAGTCTTTGAAACATCGTGAAGCTCCCGCGCCTGACAGCTCACCACCGGCACCATTTAAAGAAGTTGTTATGTACTTGTCAACGAGATCCCATCACTGTTCTCGAAGGTTTGGATGGACCAGATGGTTCTCCCCTCATTGGGAGAGTCAGTCATTGTCCCGATCCACAAGAAATGCCCTCGGGAAATCGCTTCCATTGCCGCTGCAGTTTGTTGATCACTGTTACGTCCAAGATTTTGTGTTCGTCTTAATTCGCAGGTTCTCAGCAGTTAGGGAAGGTTTCCCCCGAGAGGAAAAAACGGGTTTTCGTTGAGGCCGAGATGGCCACGGCCAAATTGTTACACTCTGTCTACCTCTCGGACTTCGCCACCTTTAACGGCGACCAACAATCATAGTGTTCTTCTGCCGTGGTTCTGATGGCACAATGTCTGTTAACAGACTGTGAATATATATATATATATATATATATATATATATATATATCTTGCACATCGGAACAGAATTTAATCCAGTAGATAGATTTGCATTGTATAACTGTGTCCGATAAGCCTGTGACCATCCTGAAGGAACTGTTCAGTCACAGATGGAGCAAAGTTAGAGTTTGCAACAGGCCCTCCACTTCATCTGGTGTCACAAGCGACGTTCGCCAAGATCGCTCTATTTCACCTTTCCTCTTCAATTTTACTATCGAAGATGTCGTCCACTAGAAGGCGTGCAGAACCGCAGTTTTCAGCTGCTCGTTTACAATGTAGTGGCGGATTTGGATCACGCCGATGACATCGCCTTGCTAGACGACGATGCACAAGCGTCCGAAATACTTTGAACCGCTTAGCAATGGTTACCTTCAAGTACGGCCTGTATTCAATCCCAACAATAAGTAAACAATACCCACGTACTGGCAGGTGCCTGGGTCCGCGCTCACCCCTGCTGGGGACATTCTTTAACAAGTTGTTTGTTTTATTCATCTAGGAAGTTGCATCACGGCTAGAGGCGGTGCGGGAGATAAGGTTTACCAATGAATTGCATAAAGCCGCCTTACACTCATCAAACGATACACATGGCGTCGTCGCGATGTCATCCTCGAGCTAAAGGGCAGAATGTACAACACCTCCGTCCGCACGCTCCTCCTGTACTGCTGTGAGACCTCGTCTTTTACTAGAAAAACGTGAAACACTAGTCAGTTTTTGATAACCGTTGAAGAATTACTGTTGTGTGGTGGTATCATCACGTAATCAATACGGGAGTTGGTGTCCTAGTGCTTGAAACGAACTGCCTCTGTCTCCAAACCGTTATTCTCCCACACTGATGTGTTATCTTGGTCACCTAATGCACACGCCAAGCTATCACCTCCCCCGTTGACCGTTATGCGCGCTCTTCAGAAGAGATTGGAAAACGTCGAGGTAGACAGCTAATGACGTAGCGATGGAGCATGAAGCATGGAGCATGCTTGGTATCAGTCGGATCAGTCCGTCATCCAGGCTAAGGACCAAGCGATTCTAATTCCCAGTGAGTGGAAACGCTGAAGGTTATAGCCCACAATAAACATTAGTGGCGCCAATGTTGTTTCATTGTTTCGCTTACTATCTAATGTCCAACCGAAAAACAAAACTCAGGACGGTGTGTGTGAAATGAAAACAAGTTTATTTTTTCCTATTTTTTCCTTCTACTTTTGCTTTGGTTCTGATGACACATTGTGTACTCATGCTTGCACATATATATATATATATATATATATATATATATATATATATATATATATATATATATATACCCGAGTCCACTTAATGGTTGATTCTTAACTTCTAGTGTCATCACAAGTTACTATAAAATCTGACCCTTTCTCTCTCCGTATCTTCAACTGAGTGTCGTCTGAACAAACGGGAGTGGACGCCTTGGCCTCAAGCTGCGAAACATGTCAGACCGAAGCTGTTTCCACCTCATGTCCTTCCTCTAGGTCACCCATACTACTTGTTAGTTGCTTGTAAATAATGTCTTCATGTATAAAATTGTGAAATCTGACCCGTCTTCGTGTGAGCATGGCCTCCCGGGAGTTCGGGGACTGTACGCAGTGGTATTAACAATAAAAGACCAGCACCGGTTCGTGTCCTTAAGGGTGACAAGCCTGTCTAGAAACCTGAGGTGCGGGTTCGAACCGGCGTGGTGGACCGGCGACCCCCTCAGCATTCTCAGGCCACGCGCAACTGGTAGTTGTGTGGTAGCAACACCTTGGTACTACCTATCGGCGTACTGATGATGACTTTTTTCAAGATACCAGCATGCTGGGCTATTTACATGGTATAACTAATATTGTGTTCTTTAACTGTCAGCACCAAAGTAACGATCAATCCTATAGACAGCTTCTTTAGTAGTATTGTGATCGAATTTGTACCAATGAAGATACATTTTGTACAACTTTTTACTCTTACAGTTCACCTATGCAAGGAGGCTAACTTAAGTAACTTGATATGCGGCCTTGTGCTTCCGCATGTAAGACAGCACCGTACAGCACACCACATGCGAACGATGTGTTAGCTAATTGACTTATACTGCAACTGCCTGAGTTTTATTTGCATTTTCTCACCTATGTACACTAGTTGTTTGCGTGTTTGTGCATCTTCATCACTTAGCGTCCCGGAGAAGCGCACCGAAGCCAGTGTCTAACAGCAATTTCACCAGCGAGATGCTTTCCAAATACAATTCGAAGAAACGGAGATCTGGATGAGGAGGGATTTACAAAAGAAGCCCACCGGCTTCGGCTTTACGGGTACCCATATTTGGTGAAATACCTCAGGCAGATATTAGTCGTTCGAAACGAGCAGAAGGCATCTCGACTACACTACCTGCGACAGCGTCGCGCTTTTTCTGAAGCTGAACGTCAACTAGCCCGTTTAAAGTTGAGGCTCAAGGAAGAAACCAAACAGCGAAGAATGACGAAAGGTGCGAGATCTGGCTTGGTGAGCTTTTGCTTTTTGATCACACACTAGAGGCCAGTGTTTTCCAGCTGCCTTACTTATCAAACCATTCCCTCATTGGTCAAACGCGACTAGTGTCTGTTATATACCATATCCGTATAGTTTTGTTTAACTTGCATACAGTTGTCTGATAGTAGAGAACAGTAAAAACACATCCCATCATGTGGTTTGCCCTAAAAACGATGGGACAAATATACCATATCCACCGACCTAAATTATAGCCATGGAATTAGGATAGCAAGACCATTAAGGTTGCCACCATTTCGCGTCATTCCGGCAAGCGTGCATCTTGTGTTTCACGTAGAGTTAAGAGTTGTATTAATGCAATTACTCTCATCCACCTATACGATCAGTTAAGCTAAAAGTAGATAACACCTGACTAACTAGTCATACTCGGCTGGTGGCCGGGTGGTCTGCACGTTTGGTTTACAGCCATAAAGTCACCGGTTCGAATCCGCGGTATATTCAGCCCGCGCTAGATTGATGGTGGTCGCGCGGCAGCGAAACGCCGTTACGGCGTACAGCTGACACATTAAGTGCCAAACTATAGACTAGTACGGAAACTAGCCTACGTTTCATTTTCCACACCGTCCATTGTGATTCATAGCGGGACGTAGGTGCAACTTCGATCATCCAGATACGCGTTTTCTGTTACTTTGCTTTCCAAACACAACTCTACAAATGCTTACGTCTCAGACTGGACTCCTGCGGATGGAATACAGTGATTTTGTTTAATAGCTGTTTCCGACCTGAGATCTAAGACGCTCAAATTCTGGTCACGGCAAAGCCACCTCTACCCAGAGTCCAAGGAACAGCCAATCTAACCTAACGACAGCAAATGTTAAGAGGCGATGGCCCCTTTTCTCTTTCATTGCCCCGAACTAGAATGGAGCTGTATATTACGTTTGCAAAGTTGAAGCTTGCACTCCTCTTTGCGCCGTCTCATAGTTGTGTACGAACCTAAATATGTATTTCGCTGTATAGAAAGCCTTCAATCGACTCACTTTCGTTGTTCGCTACCCATCTTGTCAATTACGCGATTCAAGGGCGGGGGGTTCGGATGAAGTGTATTTGTGGACGGATGAGGAGTATACCTGGCCTCGTCGTGTCAACCCTCAGCATCTACATGAGGTGTAACTTAGCCACATTTGAAGTGTATGGGACGGGTAAACATGGTGTGATGAACCATCGAAATACCGAATCCTAGGTAAACAGAAAGGGTTTCAAGTAAAGAGACAACAACCGCTGTCATACAACCGTGGCTGTATGCTCAAGTAGAGTAGCCCATCTTGTTCGCTGATGTACACCAGTATCGTTACTAAACTTAGTGCTTAGCCAACAGAGGATGGGTGGGGAACAAGGACAGGAGGATCCTTCACCTTAGAACTTCAGTAGACCAGCAAATGAATGGTGTAACTAAAGCCTCTTTTCCAACCTGGAGTAAACAGACAACTTGGCTGGAGAAACCGGTGTCAAATGCGAATCATCATGACAAGGCTGCTGCGGTTCTCCGCCACAGGGTAAAGGTACGGTTTGTGAACCATTTCGGATATCTCCTCAGTGTCATCTTCTGGGTCGTTAACTGCGGGATAACGTTAGGAATTCCTATTCATTTTGGATGCTGTGGGTTTCAGAAATATCCATGTCATGATGCTGTGAAATTGAGTATATCCTAGACATGGCATTTGTCTACATCGAATGGCAGTTCATACCGCACCGACCAATGCCAGGCCTCATTGAGGTCGCGCAGGAGGATCTCGTGACTGTCCATTCCTTTGATAACCCGTAAAACTTAACGTCATCCACGAAAAGTAGAAATTTTATGGCGATACCTCTCGCCAGATCGTTGATGAAGACTAAGAACAGGCGGGGACCAAGTACTCAACCCTGTGGTACGCCGCACTTCACTCGAATTGGATGGGCAGACGTGATCAAACATTAACTTCCAATTGCCGTTCGCAGAGAAAGTTACAAATCCATCCTAATACCGGATCTCCAATGTCGTAGGGCTGCAGTTTGTACATGAGGATTCGATGATCCCAGCGTTCGAAGGCTTCGAAAATCCATGTAGCTAACATCAATTCCTGTCCCCTCGTCGACGGTTTCAGTCCAGTTTTCACGTGCTATCAGCATCTTCGTGGTACTTGATTGATGTTGACGAAACCCGTGCTGCTCCATTGCAATGACGACGCAGCTTTCTAGGTAGCGCATCAGTACCTCCGCGATGACCGCTTCCATGACTTTAGCGAGAAAAGGGAGAAGTGTTACCGGACGGTAATTGGCAGAATTAGATCGACTTCTCTTGTGAATGGGGGTTATATTACCTTGTTTCCACGTTGATAGAACTGTGTTTTCGTCTAGAAAACGCTGAAGAAATCCTGCAAGTGGTTGGGCCAGGTGCTTGGCTCCTACCTGCAGGGCTTTAGAGTGAATGGTATCCACTCCAGGAGAGCTATGTGTACGTACGGATATTGGAGTTTTCCGCACTGTTTCTGCTGTAAATCTGATGCTGGGTAACATTGATGGCGTGGTGACAGAAGCAAGTATAATGTTCGAGGCTTGTATCCCTTGGAAAGCAGGTAAGTACTGGGCCCTTAAGACCTTGGCCAACTCTTTTGCTGTGTGTGTATACCCACCAATCGGCCGGTGGCCGAGTGGTATGCGCGTTTGGTTTGCAAGCATAAGGTCACTGGTTCGAATCCGCGTAGAGATGGGCGTCCTCGCGGTATACTCAGCCCACGCGGGACTGGTGGTGGTCGCGTGACAGCGAAGCGCCGTTACGGCATACAGCTGGCGATTTGCTTACTTTTACTGTTAATAAGCTTGCGGTTCGAAAAGAATCGTTTCACCAGCTCCTGTTGGGGTGATAATTTGTCTTAACGAACCAACTGCACATTGTTGCGCTAAGCTGCGCACGCTGTCCAATTTGTTGTGCTAGGGTTGCTTTTGTAAAGGCACTATGTCTGACCTCTCAATGCCATAACTTTCCGTGTTCGGCTTCTCAGGAATGAATGTGGTTTGATGGGACGGTGAAAAGCCTTTGGCTTGGATGCTTTAGTGACTAGTGACGTGAAGGTTTTCAAGAACTTTTCTTAGGCTATCTCTGGGGTGCACTCAGTCATGAATGTCCAATTAGCATTTTCAACGAGCGCGGACAAAACCTGATAATGCGTAATAGATTGCATCCTTTCGGGCTCTGTATTAGGGGATTGGGCGTAGCGATTGTAATCAAACAGTGAAGTCACGTGATCGCTCCGACCCAGAAGACTACATACATTTAGCTCATCAACCTTGAGCTCCACGCTGATGAGCAGTAAATTTAACTGAGGGATTTTTCGCTGTTCTGATCCTGGTGAGATCGGTGACGTGGTTGTATAGGGGTGTGCTATTGAGTAGCTCTTGTAAATAAACCTTGAACTGTTACGCCTCGGCTGCTGTGGCTTCCAAAACATGGATGTTGAAATCTCCAGTAATGAGGAGATAGTTGTATTTCTGATTTATCACAATGCGAAATGCAGATATTAGTCTGTGTTCCATTTCTGGAGTGGATTTGGGTGGTCGATAAACTACGGAGACGTGGCATGTATCGTCATTCTGCAACCACAGTTTGCCCGAAAGGATAACAGTGGCACACATATGAGGATAAGCTATGAGGATAAGCTATGATCTCACAGAGAAGGTTTGTTTTGTAATAAGTGATTGCTTCCCTCCTCTATCCTTTGTGTCGTTCCGGAGAAGCGACATACCGGGTAGAGTGATTTCAGCGTCGGCTATTTCACACCTCAGCTACGTTTCGGTGAGCATTATGACATCTTGTGGCTCGGATGCCTGAGGGTGACGGAGTTCAACCAGCTCAGTTTCTCAGTAACGAAAAGTGAATCATTGGACGTCAGACTAAGATTTGAGATTTTGCCAACCGTTAAGGGGGTCGACCACTAGCCGTTTTTTCGCGCAGTCGTAGGCCTTTGAAGCTCGGTCGGGTTGTACGATTGCTCTCAGCTGTCCTGATCCTGGTGGACCCCCGTAGTTAGTCTTATTCCATCGGATGCTAAGGTTGCCATTAAATCAATCCCTTCATAGAGCTGTAAGAGGCGAAAATGCACCAACTTGGTTGTCCCCAGTGAGTTATTAGCCACCTGTGGCCTTGTATCTGCTGCCTTTAACAAAATTTCCGTAAGCAGCATCTTACGAAATTTTGACCAATTATCCATTATACGCGGTGTCATTAGCTCAGACTGTAGTATCACCTTCATCAGCCGGGAACCATTCCCCCTTGTAGTTGGGTGCTACTATAGTTATTGTCAACGGCTTTCCAATATTACTGTCGTGGGAGAGTTCCTGATGGATGAAACTCCGTTGCTACCGGTTGCGTGTCTCCACTTCCTCAGAGGAGGATGTTTGAACCTCAGCAACTCCGTAAACAATAATCGTCCGTTTTTCGTCAGCTTTACGAAGTTTCCCCGCTTGCATTTCTCCTTAGGAAGTTCGTTCCCAGAGATATCCGGAAGAATGCGCACCTCATGTGATGAGTTACGGAGCCGAATCGAAGCCAATAGAACGGCCTCTGTGTCATCAGTGGAAGTCGTTGTCACCCCGAGAAGTCGAGGTTCACCGTGATGCACTGGTTTTGTGTGACGTGGAACCCGTCTCAGGGTCACAAATATATAAATAAAATTATTCTCGAGTACGCGAGGCAAGTCTTCACAGGCATGATTATGGTAAGAGTACAAATGGTCTATTGCACCGCAAATGGTACTTCACTGATTACGGTCATTCCTCAGCTGCCCTTTTACGGTACTAGACTGCGATTCTGGAACGTTCGTGCACACAACACTCAAAGCAATTCGATTTCTTCTATTAGCTGCAGGTTTGCGTGTATTGATGGATACCGTTTTAAACAGTTTGGTTGTTTGTGGAAGTTGCTTCACTCTACTGTTGCTCGGTGTTGCTACCGGAGTCGGGTGCGTTTACTTCAGCGCTCATATGGAGGCAACTGATGCGCATGATGCCAGGCTTTTCCGTATGTTGGACGAATGCGGGCTCGAAGCTGTTGTTATCACCACTGGCTTGATTTGGGCTGCACAGTTAAACTGAGTGGAAACCAGGCATGTTTGCATCTTGTCCGCTTATAGGAGTTTGGTGAGCCAGAGAATTTATGGACACAGACGCTGCAGTGCTGTTGGAGCGTCTGGTTCTATTCTTCGGTCTAGAGGTGGAACTTGCTTTGGCTGGTTGAGGTGTTAGCATGCCCGTAGGTACCTCCGTGGGAGCGATATTAGTATTCACTAAATGCACGATTAGCTCGGGTAAACTATCGCACCTCATGGACAAACATAAACAGTGGATAACTGGAATAACTTGACATGTTGGACAGAACCAAAGGGTCTCAGCATCTTAGTTTATCTGCCTCGCTCCGTGGACAAATTTTCCTATACATTACGAGTGGCACGATCTACTACAGCCAGAACAGGTTACTCAGACCTTAAGGACTTTACCGCAAGTTGCTGAAGTGCATACGCGGTGTTGCACCATTTTTGGAATGCTGGCTGAACTATTGCTTGCACCGTCTATCCGGGCCGTTGTTGCGGCAATGTCGCTCACGTTTGTTGAATGTTCTGTGAGCCAGGCGTGCACATGACACACAAACACGTCAAAACCCGCACACTAGGTGAGATGGCTGACGGCCGGCGGATCGAATGCGTCAGACCTTGTCAAGACTTTGGTCGTTTGCACACCCTCGTCAGGTGATCAGTGATTCGAAGAGTCATTGGAGTGGGTGACGTGGCTGTGCTGGTCGATACGATGGGTTACACCGGTGGTGCACTGGTTGACAAGGTCACAAGGAGTGGCGATTGGCTTTGCGCAATTGATTACATTTATTTTTTCTTAAATGTATTTATTTAAATGTATGCTGAACAAGCAGTAAAGTGGTAAGACATGCGAAGTAGCTGCAGCAAATGGTGTTAGGAACGAGCGGTTTTTGGTTAACTTGATCGTCACAAGGAAGATCTTTCGAACGAGTGTAAAAAGAATCCACGTTTACATTAGATCCATGAAGTGCTTGAAACTGAAACGTGAAACGGACGTGAATCAGACGTTGAAACGATAAGAATAAGTAGGTAGGCACCTTGTAGAGCTGAGAAATCCGAGTTGAATGAATGTAAGCTTAACAATGTGCAACAACATGGTAAAGAAGGGTTCACAAAAATGCAAAAGTGTCGATTTGGATGGACCGTACGCTGGACATCGGGTGAAGACAGAATAAGTCAGCTGCTTGAAAACGGAATAACAACCGTCTAAAGCATGAGACCCGTCATCAACTGGGCTTCTGATTAGACATAGTTGTTGTCTAGGGTTTTGAACATGCAGCTCGCACTATGAAATGCTGCAAAACTTTGAGAGGACTACCAAAGACTGTGGGATAAATGTAAGCTTAGCTGGAAATCACTTTGGAAGATCCTGGCAAATGGATGTAGGTAGGTGGACAATGCAAACAGCGGATGCTCTAACTCGGACTGACAAAAAGGCGTTGTATGTTCTGCGGTAACAATATGCACCAACGTTTTATTGCATCCCGTGGTCTCCTGAACCTTTGGAAACTATGATGCTTCCACCAGGGCACACACACATACGACAGACACGGTGGTGAAAAAGCTGCTATCCATGCGCATCAAGCCCCACTCGGAATTGGTGACCTCCGCCCAAAGACGTTTGTTGTGGTGGCTAATCATTTGGCTGAACTCTTTGCGCAGCTGTGCCAGCACTGCCTTGACGACAGAGGCGTTCGTGCCGTGTGGAAATACGGGATAATAACCTATTTACTAAGGCGATAGTAGTTCCGACTCAGCTGCTTATCGACCAGTGAATCTTCTGCCAGTTCTTACAAGAGCTATGGAGACCAGCATCGCCGACACACTCATGTCTTACCTGAACAGTTCTGGTCACATTGCTCAGCAACGATACGGTTTCCGACAGAATGGGTCGTGCGCCACTAACTTAATAACATGAGACAGCTGGACCGAAACCGTGGATGCTGGTGGGGGAATTGATGTGGCTTACCATGAGTTCTCTAAGGCAGTCGACTGGTTAAACCATCGTATCCTTCTCGCCAAACTTCAAGGATGTGACATTGGGGACCCTCTCCTAGGCTGGACCTGCAATTTTCTCCCACACAGCCGTCTGGAGGTGTGAGTACGTGAATTCATGCCAGACCCCAATCACGTAGGATACGGTGGGCCACAAGGCTCAGTACTGGAGCCCCGTCTATGCTTACTTTTCAGTAACTATCTAGTGAGCCAAATTACATCATTGTGTTTACTCTACGCCAATTACATAAAAGTCTGGCGAACAATCAGAGCTCCAGAAGAAAGTATCCATTTTCCAAATGACCTTGACAAAATCTATGGATGATCCACCTAAAATCACCTTTGCTGCCATGTAGCTACATGTAGAGTGCTCCCATTTACGACACCGAATGGTCCACACTTAAAAGCTGGGGGAACAGGATCTGCAACACTTTTCTCACGAAAAGTCTCTTGGGGTGTTTGTCCAGGAAGAACTCGGCTGCTCGAAGCAGTCCGAAAAAGCGTCTAAGAAGGAGATCTAAATAGTGGGTCTTCTACGGAGAGCTTTCGGACGCTTCGAACCGTTTCTTTTCCGCCAATTAATTTCTGCTCACAATCGCCTTCATGTAGAATATGTAATTCAGGTATGGCATCCATGGGTGAAGCAGGATCTCACTGCCTTGGAGATTCCGCAACTTAGGGCGTGCAAAAATGCCATGCTACGCCACGTGCCATATAAATAGCGCAGTCTGAACTGTATTGTGTCAAATTTACTAGGGTATGGCTTTCTTTACATGTAATACGCATCTGATGGAAATGGATGCTGCAAGATTCAATGAAGCCACACGCGCTCACTTTTCTCTCCTCTTGATGTTCTAGCGTTGGAAGTGAATAACCTGGAATGGCCTGTCCTCACTAAACACAAGACAGGTTCTACGCGCTCACACTATGGTGGCTGACCAGAGGTCGAACTTGTATAGAGATCAGACAGATCAACAGCACTAGTGTTTCACTGAGCAGGTAGTTATATGACTCTTCTGGCGAACTACACACACGTCCACCAACCTCGATGGGCTTCTGTCTGACGCTACGTAACTTTACAAGTGCCTTGGGTGGGAAAATGTTGCGGTAGGGGGCTGATCTGATAGAAAAGATGTTTTCGTGAAGTAGCTTTCAGCAAGCCACCTCGATGAAAATTACAGAATTTTCCACAACGAATTTTATTACCGAGTACCTCTGGAACTTACTTTCGTCCAGTGTCCTTGATACATTCGCAGGCATGCAGACTCGGTTCACAACGCCTATTATTTTTCAAGCCGTTTCACTTACCAGTATGCATAAAGATAGTCATTACGGTTCACTTTATGTAGATTTTCCATCCAAAGCAGAGTCGGAAACAAAACAGTCAGTGAACACCACACGTTCTCAGGCAACGCAAACGATAAAAGATTCTTCACAGCACATGGATAACAAGGCAAACAGCACCCCCACGCGTCAATGCACGGGACTCTCCCTAAGTGAAGTGGAGGTTTATCACGATGCTGTTTCCATTGCTCACACTGACTCTTACGGGTAAGCTCACTTGGGTCTTTAGATTAAGCTTCTTTTGTTAGGCAATAAGTACCCGGGTTATTTCACTACTTTCCTCGGTAAATGGTTTGGAGCTTTCCTGTCGCAATGAGGTGTTTTCTGATAACTTAGTGGTTGGCGCTTTGCTCCTCTAATGCTACCCTTACTTATGTTTTCCGGTGTCGTCTGTAGCAGTCGGCCAAATCCTTTTTGTGATGATCACTTTAGACCCCTAGATTGCCTAGATTTTAAATGAATCCAACCGAGTTTCAACCTGAAGTTATTGCATAGTTTTGTTTCCAAGTCGTCTTAAACCAATGTTCATTCTGCTGTCCCGAAAGAACCCGGGTGTATGCAGTTTACTCCTAACGAAACTTCATCCGTACTAGCTTCTCGTAACTTCCTTTCGATCATGGTAAGGTTCGTAGACGATTCTGATTCGGACGAGCAGACCCTATCATTTTTCAACAACTCCTAAGATCACACATACGCCCACATGTAGAAAACGCAATACAAGTCTGGCAGCCATGGATGAGGAGAGATCTCACTGTTTTGGAGATGCCACAACGCCTGTATAATGCATCGTATGAACGTGGGCTTCTAGTTCTCGGAGTCTTCAGCGAACACTAGCGGCGATTACGTGAGGACCTCATTTTGACTTAATATGTTTTCGGAATTTCCAACCACACTTGCCGCCGTTTGCTAGAGGCCACCATCTCAAGCTGACAGGTCAGTACATTTGCTTAGAATTTGGTCGCAATTTCTTTTCCGCACGCGTTTGCAAAGCGTGAAGTGACCTGCCGGAATCTGTCATCTGTGCTCCGACGCTGGTAGAGTTCAAAACCCGAGCTGACCGCGTACTGATTTCGCTGCACCATAATACATAACTCACTGCGCATGTCTAAACACGAGTGTGGTGTGGAAGATTTCATTGCCGGTCAACTCCCAATATACGTTTCATGTGTTTCACCTCCTGTAAGCGTTCACCATGAGACAACACAATGTTCACCAACGTCCCACTTGCCATCATTCCTTACGGACTTACAGTGGGTTTATATTTTATAATACTAATATTGCAGTGAGTCCAAGTGTGTGCATGTAATTTTGCCAACAAGTTTCTATATTACAGAGGAGTAGTAGGGGGAGTTGAATGGTATAGGTGGAACTTCGTCACATCTAGACTCACTCAGACAGTCGCCACACGCCCGGAAAAGCACTGTGCGCGCGTTTCATCCTTTCGGGAATCGTTAGCAGTGCGCATTCCATCGGACCCTGGTAGGGCTCGAAGCCGCAACTCGACTATTGACAGTCCGTCTTTGAGACCACTGAGGTACGGGGACGGCAACGACCATCGAGTTGCGGGTTCGAAAGCTATCAATGTCCGAGGGAATACGCACTGCTGATGATTTCCGCAAGGATGAAACGTGCGTACAGTGCTTTTCCGGGCGTGTGACGGTTGTCTGAGTGAGTCTAGATGTGACGAATTTCTACCTAATTTTCTATATGTTGCATTTTCACCATGACCATGCTACGGGACCTGTTAACTTTTACCTATTTTTTACCCGCACAAAACGATTGTTTTCGTTCATTCCATTATAGCGATGATAGTAACACTCTGGTTGGTTCCGTGCCTCACCCTCTTCCAACACTACAACTCCAATAGCAATGTTCTGACGAACTCTTTCATGCACAAGAGTTTACTCTGTTAAGCTTTTAATAGCCTACGTCATTTTCTCAATTCCAACTAGATCAGATGACACCGAGGTGTTGGGTGCGTGGCAAAGATTGGTCAGACAGTTGAGAGTGCCGCTCCCTGCACTATGCTTCTGCATTCGACCTGATCCCTCTGACTCAAGCACTCCTCCTTGGTTGACATGCACTCGCGAGTGTCGCTTTTTCCGGAACCCTGAAAGTGAGTTGGCATTTTGATGGGTGTCATAAGATGATATATATATATATATATATGGTTGGCGGCATCCGGTTTCGGATTTGCCTGTCACTGTGGCAAGCCACAGGAGGCGTGCGCCTACAGAGGGACCATGGATGACTTGCGCTGCACCACCCACAGCTCCATCCACACACCCCATATCCAGTGTAAACCCGAAGGAATAAGACCGGGAGGCATGCGGATGGGAGCCACGTTTCATCAATGGAGCCGGCCCACAATCCTTCACAGACAAACACAAGCACGCTGTATTTGGGGAATCAAGTAAACACAAGGCGGTGGCTGGACCGTAGTCCGCTCCACACTGAGTGCATGGAACCACTCTTTGAACCAAACACGACCACAAGGGCCGTGCACCCCGTCCCCTCCAGCAACGACCAACTGTCTCCTGGAGCCAGTATGGACGATGTAGTGGGTAATAGACAGGTAGGCACCTTGTCAACATGCACATCAAGCGCAGCCACACCAAGGATGTCAAACGACAGCCAATCATTCGAAATGCCGATATCGAATAAAGTAAACGTATATGACGACATAAATACTCGCTAAATGAGCATATAGAAGAAATTGGTTATAAATGAATCCGTGATATGTACAAAATGTCCTAAAGTTATTACCAAAATACCACGCGATAAAATAACGCAAGTTTACCACAATTTGCGTGAGCGACGTGTGCAAGTAAGGAGAAGATTATCAAGTACGCAGAACAAACCAAATAACACGTAATAAATTTTATCCACATTAAAAAGTCCCAGTTTAAGTGTAAGTTTGTTTAGCCCAACTGCGGTGAAGAAGCAGCATGAATGCAACATCAGCCTCAGCAAGGGGCATATACATATATATATATATATATATATATATATATATATATATGAGAGAGAGATGAGGTGATAACCCTAGCACAATCTTCTGCACTTCACCCAGAACAATGTGCATGTGTGAAACCATCATGTATATCACACAATGCACATTCCCATATAATATGTGAAGGGGACTGAATGAACAAGATGTAAATATTTTTATCTCCCTATGTGAAAATAATCTCTCACATCGTCGGGAAATAAAAGCTTTAGTTATTTATTGTTAGCCCCCGAAACTTGGACGGATGCAGTGGATACGGACCACGCACTGGACGTGGTTTTCGTCGAGTTTTCGAAGGCATACAACACAGTACCCAATTTGAGGTATGCGCACAAGCTGTTCTCGCCGTATATCCGGTCGCGCTATTCACTTGGTGAATGCACTCTTGGATGCTAGAGAACAGTATGTACGGGTAGGTCATGGCCTATCGTTTAGGTAATTTTTTCTCGCTGATCTACCACAAGGCTCGGTCTACAGGCCATTGCTGTTCTCTAGCTGTGTGATTGACCTACCCATGGAACTTGACGTGACATCGCTGCTATTTGCTAATGACCTGAAGCTGTTGAATGTCGACGTTCCTGGGGGTTCTAAACCTATTCTGTTAACCTTGAGGTCTATACATATATATACATGCAACCAAGGTCTTTTTAAGTGGGAAAATTTCATTCCACTTTACTTGGTTTATTCTGCCTACCTAAATAATCTTCTATTAACTGGCCACGTTGCTTACGCTAATTGCGCTTATATTCGGTAACTTTGTTGCCTTTGTACCATTTTTAAGTAACTTATGGACATTTTTTCCATATCGCGGATTCGTTGCTAACCAACTTACTTCATATACTAATTTAGCGAAGTGTTTATATATATATATATATATATATATATATATATATATATATATATATATATGATTTGGCGGCGTCCGTATCCGGATTTGCCTGTCACTGTGATGTCCATGGGGACAGTCACAGGACGCCTGCGCCTACAGAGGGACCATGGGTGGCTTGCGCTGCACCACCCATAGTTCCATCCACACACCCCATATCCAGTGTAAACCCGAAGGAATAAGACCGGGAGGCATGCGGATGGGAGCCACGTTTCATCAACCGAGCCGGCCCACACTCCTTCAACAAGCAGAACGGAAGCCTTCCGGCCTAATTGGGAAACAATACACATCAGACGTACTCGAGGCGGTGGATGGACCGTAGCCCGTTCCACACAGGTTGCATGGAACCACTCTTTGAGCCTAGCACCGTCACGAGGACGGTGCACTCCGTCCTCTCCAGCGACGACCAACTGTCTCCTGGAGCCAGTATGGACGAGGTAGTGGGTAATAGACAGGTAGGCACCTTGTCAACATTCACATCAGGCGCATCCACTCCGGGGAGCTCAAGCAACATATACTTCTGAAATGCAAGATTATTCATCACGCAGGCAAACGTACCACATACGCCGCCTTATTGGCCTGGATTAGTAAAATGAATGGGAACATACTCATGGTGCTTCTATTCCGCGTACAATTGTGCCTGCTCCGGCACCTGAGAAACCGCCCTTTTGAGTGGTTCACGGAATTCGCATCGATCAAATTTGCCTTGGATTCGCAACACCTGAATTCAACATGAGTTTGTCATAAACTCACCTTCTTCATGTTCTGGTAATATTATTTTCGCTTTGCTCGAATGTCGTTCTACTGCACTAGGTTAACCGTACAAAAGCGAAATGAAGATCCTCGTGGAATTCATTCGGTATACATATATACATAGATTGGCGTCATCTTTGTCCAATGGCAGTTCGAATGCAACATATGTACATGCGTTTATGCAAACTTAAGTGTGAGCTGTCACAAAGTGGATAGAGACACATTAGACATCATCATCAATGGTACGACAAACGTGTATGGGTTTCGTTTGGAGGTCAGGCTAACAACCACTTTTGCAGGTATGAGAATAACTACCCAATACGAACGGTTGATGTTTTCTTCCACATGTAGACGTGACTGCCTTAAATCTTGGGCATCCATATTTGAAGGAATCCGATGTGGCAATAGTAAAGCAACTGCTAGGTACAATGATGACTAGACTATTGGTACAGTGAAATAGTGTGCACTTAGGTGTTGCCCTCTACATGTACAGTCTGGTTTGAGTAGCTGATGTGGGAGATCACACAGCATGCGAATGCGATACAGTGTCCACTTCTGGCTCTCTGTGTCTCCGACCGGTTCGGTCATGTGCTGCCCGAGGCATGTGCAGCTACTCAAAGAACGATTGATGCGCAACCTTTGGTATTGACAAGTGACATCAACTAAGTCCCGCTGCCCACTGTCAAACATGCGACTTTCCAAACAGTGTTCACATTTATTGTGCAAATGTCCAAGTAATCAACCGCTATATATATATATAAAAATATATATATAATATATATAATATATACAAATATAATATAATAAATATATAAATAAATATAAATAAATAAATATAAATAAATATAAATATAAATATAAATAAATAACCACTCCCCATATTGTTTTATGTGCGCACATTCTAATTTCAAACCCTTTACACGGCAGTGCAGTTAAATCTGTAATGCTTTTATATGTCGTACAGGGCACAGTCAAGCCTATCAAATTTATGGTTATAGTCATTGTTGTTGGGATTAGGTCCACGGCAACCGCAGGTTGACAACTAATTGCTTTTGGACACACAAAGCTGGTCTAATTCGGCTTATCGCGACGGCCTCGGCAACTCGTAAAAGGCGTGCATTAGTATGACGTAACAAGATCCGGAACGCCGATAAGGGATTGACCTGGTGACGTGTCTCCAAAATGTGTCTGCCTATGGAGGACGCTGGCGACTTAGGCGAGCACGTATCATTGGGGGTGGATTGAATAACTTCGCGCTGAACCCAGTTTGATAAGTGCTCCTTCACTCTGGGATCTAAAGCCCATTCGGTCCAACCGATGTGACTGATACCGCGGTCACACACGAATTGGCAGACACAATGGGATTTGGCGTGGAAGGGTTCATCTTCCTTTACTGAAAGTAACGGCAACTTTCGGGTTCTGTTGATAATTACCGCCTCCGTATGTACGCTGAATGGCCGAGACAATGCGTTTGTTTATCCTTCTTGCTGCGGTGTCACCCTTGAATGGTAGCTCGATGTACACCTTTTTCTTAGGAGTTGTCAACACCATCTCCTTGGGCGGTCTAACTTGGCTATGTTTGTCTATGAATCGCTTTGGGTAGCCATTATCCATAAGTGTTTTAGTGATCAGCTCAAACTCCTCAGGTAGGCAGTCGTTGGAGCAGATACGTCTGGCCCGAGTGAATAATGTTTTACCAGCGCGCGCTTATGTGCCATCGGTGAGAAGCTAGTGAAGTGTAGGTATTGGCCGGACCATGTTGGCTTCCGGTATACAGCTCGCTTAATCAGCCCATTATCCCTGCGACTCATGAGAATGTCGAGATACGGAAGACGCCCATTCAATTCGAATTCAAAAGTCACCTTCAGGTTGGCGTGAACATTATTAAGTTGGTCTACTAATTGTTCGATTTGCATCTTCGTGGAACCGAAAACAAGGATATCATCAACATATCATTTGTAACACGGTAGCTAAAAATCTGTCCACTTAGTTTCCTCTCAAACATCAGCATGAAAAAATCAGCCAGTACCGGGCCCAACGGACTACCCATAGCCACTCCATCAATTTGGCGATATGAGGTGTGTTGGAATCGGAAGGCGGCATTCTCCGTGCAAAGTAACAGGGACTGTCTCAGGAGGTCTGCCGGTATTGATAGACGGAAATTCTGCTTTTCTATCAGGAGGCAAATTTAATCAACTGTCTCTAGCAAAGGTACATTAGTAAATAACGACTGCACGTCCACTGAGCACGGAACCTTGTCGGCTAGGCTGACGTTGTCTAAATCCTTGATTATTTCAAAAGAGTCCTTAATGCTGTGCAAATTTTAGCGCTGCCTCAGTGGCGCAAGAATCCGAACTAACCAGTGAGCCAATTTGTGCTGCGGTGAATTCACCATCGACAAAATGGGTCTTAGTGGCATGTCGTGCTTGTGTTTTTGGTAACCCGTACAGCTGTAGAGTCTAGGATA